GGGGGGGGGGGGGGGGAGGTGGGGTGGAAGCGCCAGCGACGGAGGAGGCGTCAGCGGCGTCAGCAGCACAACAGCAGCACAGCGGCACAGAGGCACAGCAGCAGCAGCAGCAGCAGCAGCAGCAGCAGCAGCAGCAGCAGCAGCAGCAGCAGCAGCAGCAGCAGCAGCAGCAGCAGCAGCAGCAGGTCTTGGAAAGCTTGGGACAAGGCTAGGAGTGCAGCTGCTGCAAGGTTGACAGCGTGCTTCTCTGCTTTCCAGCAGCCGCGAGCGGGGCGCAGCCTGTCAAGCCTCCGGATGCGCACCTTTGAAACGCCCCGAGCGGCGGCTGCCAGTGACGCCTTTTGGCTGGCAGCAACCTCTGTGTGTGGCGGCCGGGCATGGCGCACGCAGGCGTGAGGGCAGTGCATACTAGCCGCCGTGCATCATGTGGAGACTCAGTTGCCATTGAACAGCAAGATACGCCCCGGCCAGCGAGACAGTCGGTCATCCAGACATCCAGGTTGTAGACAATTCATGCACACAGACCGCTTGTGCTGCAGATCGATAAAGGTCTGTGCCGCTCACTCTCCAAAAATTGGACCTTGCGGTTGACCTTCCTCTGCACATGCTGAGGGGGCAGCGGCCCCGCCGCATGGCCGCTGCCAGCCTGCAGCAGTGTGCCAGAGCGTCGCGTCAGAAACCTCCGCCGCACGTGGCCAACACCTAATGGCGTTGTTGCTTGCTGTGGCCTCCGCCTGCACAAGTTCTGCTCTCACCTGCTCGCGTGCGACACCGGCAGCCGCTGCTGCAGCCGCACGGTAGCGCTGTCCGCCTCCGACCTTTTTCTTCACCTGAACAGCGACAGACAATTGTGACAATCCACACAAGCGTTGAGACGGGTTGCAATTGCCCTTGCACGGCACATGCTCCTCACCATGCCGATTGCAGCAAGAGCAGCTCACTGCAGTCGCCTAGCTACCACTGCGCCGCCACCCTGCTCTTGCCGCGGACGCGCGAGAACTCGTTGATGGCGCTTCAACCCTCAAACATATGCGTTAGTGGAACCACGAGAAGCTCTGCAAGGTTTGCAGGTTGCAAAACTTGTGTTATCTGATCCGGACTCTAGGCGTTGACAGATAATCTTTCAATTGATAATTTCAGCACTGAAACAGCGAGTGTTGATCGAACGTGCAGTTGTCACCCCAAAATCGGCTGGTGCGACGGGTGGTCGCGCTCACATTCAACCGCTGGCATCATCTTTTCAGGCATGAACGACTGCCAATTTTTCAAGCTCCTCTTCGCTCATCAGTACGTAGTGCGGTCGTCTGCGCTGAAATCCATGGGCCTGTGCCTCTATTAGCGGTCCACTTGCTGCCAGCAGCAGCCATAACAGAGGAGGAGTGCTTGAATTACCGGTTTGAGCGCCTCGTGGGCGCTTTAAGGAGCTGGCGTAGTCTTTCCGATCTCAGAGTGAGGCCGCGGCCGAGAGCGCTCTTGCATAGGTCGCCTGTGCTTGGCAGCTGGCGTACGTTTTGGTGACCTCATAATCTTTAATTTGTGTTCGTTTCATAGTCGTCACGTGCAGCAGCCATCCAACCGTTGCGCGCTGCTCGCTGCTCTCTGCCCTTGCTGTGGTGTGGTGCTTACACGGCACGCCCCTGCAGGCGGCCGTCCCGCGGTGCCCGCAGCCGGGACACCCAGGTTCAGCTGCATCATGGCCGGCGAGGGCGCAGGTGGGCCTGAATGCGTGGCTGCAGGGTGCCAGCATGCAGCTGCGGTTTGAAATCGCAGCGGGCCGGCAGTACACTGCAGCAGTCAGGTGCCACGCATGCGTCAATGGGAGGTGGCGGTGTGCTCACATGCGTTTTGGTTGCAGCACATCGCCCAACGCATGCAAGGGGTGAACCTGCTTAAGCACCTTTGCTCTTCCTGTGGGGCAACCCCTGCAGGCGCGCTATTGGCAGCAGGGGCCAGCGATGGTACCACTGACGGGTGAGCCTGAACAGCAGAGTGGCAACTAAAAGCGATCGCCTATGAGCCTTCTGAAAAGAGCAGCGCTCGACATGTGCCTAGGGTTTGTCTGGCTATATCAGCAGCGGCAAACACGTCGCTTGGCCAGCATCCTCGCAGAATGCAGCCGAGCACCTGTCTTGCCCCCACCCTCAATCTGCCCACATGCAATCTGATTGCATGGCCCCTGGTGCAGGCCACCAGTGCCCCAGTACAAGCTGTGGGCCGACCCCCTGCAGCTGTCCGCGGCGTTTGCGCCGCTGGAGGCGCTGATGCGCGAGCGCATCATCTACATCGACGGCGCCATGGGCACAATGATCCAGCGCTACAAGCTGGAGGAGGAGGACTTCCGGGGTGAGCGCTTTGCCGGCCACAGTCAT